AAAAAAAAAAAAAAAAAAAGTCAGGGAGATGATATGAAGTGAATCATGTCCTCTCCAAATTTATATGTTGACGCTCCTCCCCCGCCCCCCGTGTGACTGTTTGCAGTAGGTCCTTTAAGGGGATAATTGAGGTCAAATACAATTAGAAAAGTGGGGTCCTAATCAGATAGAACTCACGTCCTTATAAGAAGAGAAAGAGAGAATGGAAATTTCTTTATTTTTCATTGTGCACAGAGAAAAGACCATCTGAAGACACTGAGGAGGTGGCAATATGCAAGCCAGAAAGAGAGGCCTCCCCACAAACTACCCTTGTTGGCCCCTTGGTCTTGGACTTAAAGCCTTCAGAGCTAAGAGAAAATACATTTCTGTTGTTTAAGCCACCCAGTCTATGATATTTTGTTATGGCAGCCCCAGCTAGTGCAAGGGAGTTAGGCGGGATGAGAAAAACCAAAATTTACAAAGCAAATATAAATATTAATTAGGTACAATTTCATCATCCAGAATTACCAACTGCTAACAGATTATCATATTTGCTTTGAGCCCTTCCTCCCTCCCTCCGTCCCTCCCTCCCCTCCCTTCTCTCTTTCTTTCCTTTCCTTGGCAGTAAGAGATGAAGCCCAAGTTCCCTTTAACTACACAAACTAATTCCCATGTGTCAAAAACGACTGCTAAAACCAATTTGGTATGTAGCATTCTAAACAGATCCCCCCTGTACTTTTGCATATTTATGAAGCAATATGTATATTTTGTGTTTACTTTTTAACATACATAAATGATGTACCATGTTTTTCATTTTGTTTATTAATTTAGAGATAAATCTGCATGATGCTCATAAGTTTAATTCATTCCTTTAATTACTTCCCTAAACTTCAGAAATAACTAATTTTTTAAAAATGCAATTGATCCCAATGATATTAGCAATAAAAATTACTACGAATATACTTAATAAAAAACGCAATTTCATTCTGTAAAAGATTTTAATACTTTCTTGAAGGGCATAAAAGAAGGCATTATTGAAAGGAAATATATAAGGAGGAAGTGGGGTGAGGAGGGCTGCAACGCGGAGCGGAGGAGACAGAAACCAGAGCTCTAGCTGAGCCGGATCCGGGTGGGCGCCACGGACGGGATTCCCACCACAGGGGCGATGAAGCGCAATATCCGGGCGATGAAGCGCAATACCCAGGCTCAGCAGCAGCGAGCGGGCGGACGATGCAGAGGAAACAGTCGAGCGTTTCCAGTGGCAAGTCAAGTGGAGGGAGAAAGGCAGCCTGGGAGCAGGCCGAGGCTGAGGCGGCCTCCTGCAACTGCAGGATCCACCTGGTTGAAGAGGAGCCGGATCGTGCCCAGGAGCGCCTGGCCACAGCCCTGCAAAGCTGGAGGAAGCGGAAAAAGCTGCTAACGAGAGAGTGGTATGAAGGTTATTGAAAACCGGGACCTAAAAGATAAAGAAAAGATGAAACTCCAGGAAATCCAGCTCAAAGAAGCTAAGCATATTGCACAAGAGGCAGATAGGAAGTATGAAGAAGTCGCTCCTAAGCTGGTGGTTACTGAAAGAGACTTGAAATGCACAGAGGAAGGAGCCAAGCTGGCAGAGTGCCCCTTGCAAGAGATGGATGAGCAGATCAGATGATGGACCAGAACCTGAAGTGTCTGAGCGCTGCTGAAGAAAAGGATTCTCAAAAAGAAGAAAAACATGAGGAAGAGATAAAGATTCTTATTGATAGGCTCAGCGCCGGTTGGTCAGTGGTTAGGGCGCCGGCACCATGCACCTAGGCTGGCGGGTTCTAATCTGGCCCAGGCCAGCCAAATAACAATGACAACTGCAACCAAAAAAATAGCCAGGTGTTGTGGCAGGCGCCTGTAGTCCCAGCTACATGAGAGGCTGAGGCAAGAGAATAGCTTAAACCCAAGAGTTAGAGGTTGCTGTGAGCTGCGAATCTATCCTACCCAGGGTGACATAGTGAGACGCTGTCTCAAAAAAAAAAAAAAAAAAAAAAAGATTCTTACTGATAAACTCAAGGAGATTTCATGAGACCCGTGATTAGTTTGCTGAGAGATGGGTAGCCAAGCTGGAAAAGACAAATGATGATTTGGAAGATTTGGAAGATAAACTGAAATGTACCAAGAGGAGCACCTCTGTACACAAAGGATGCTGGACCAGACTCTGCGTGACCCCAGTGAGATGTAGAGCACCCCAGTCCTGCCCTGCTGCTGCTTCTCCCTCTGACCCTGACTCCGCCTGAGGCCAGCCTGCCCGAAGCTGCCCTTTAAACTGAGGGCTGATCTTTAACTGGAAGGCTGCTTTCTCCTTTCGCTGCCCCCCATCCCCCTCCCCGCCCACTCTACCAACGAGTCTTTTTGGCCAAATTGTCTCTGCCTTTCCCCAGAGATTCCAGCTGGGCTGGAGGCTGAGCAGCTTTGGGAACAACAATTAAGGGAGTGTGAGCACAGTGCATGTTGCGATGTACACATGTTGTAACTACCTTTTTTGTTACAGCAACCATTGGTTAAACATTCCAAATACTTCCCAAGCTCTGAAGCCTCAGTCTAATCCCCTTTTCACTTTTGGAAGGTGACTTTTTGGACTTTTTGGTTTAGGTTTAAAGCGTTATCTTCTTAGAGGAGGCAAAAAGGTGTGGGCCTGCCTCATTGAGAACCAAACACCGCCCAGGAAGACTCCTCTATGGGAAACCTCATTGTCCTGCACAAAATACCAGCTAAACCAGAAAGGTGGTCCCAGGAAGAGTTAGTCCCCCGACTCCCCAAAAAAATCCCAGCAAAAAATGCTGCTCAGGTTTTCAGATTAAAGGTATCTTTGGACAACTTTCTTTTTTCTTTTTTTCTTTTAAGTGACCAAATTAAGATGGAAAGACCTCTGAGACTAGACTTTTTTTTTTTTTTTGAGACAGAATCTCAAGCTGTCACCCTGGGTAGAGGACCGTGGCAACTTCCAACTGGGGCTCAAGCGATCCTCTTGCCTCAGTTTTTCTATTTTTAGTAGAGATAGGGTCTCGCTTTTCTTCAGGCTGGTCTCAAACTCCTGAGCTCAAGCAATCCATTGTCCTTGGCCTCCCATAGTGTTAGGATTACAGGCGTGAGCCACCTCACCTGGCCTGAGACCAGATTTTTACCATCTCTACCCCCTTGCCAACCACTGGCATAAGGAGCATGCTAATGGATCACATGCTCCTTATGTTGAGTTGACCACATAATTGTTCTCTTGCCTTTTTGAAACAAAGAAAATTATGTTTTTGCCACAAATTTAGCCATATGGAATTCATCTCGTTACCTTTTTCTGGGTCTGAAGCTGCTGTCTCCAAAAGCGCCATCTCATTGTCCTTTGCATCAGTCTAGTTTGGAGAAATCTTGAATAGCTTATGTAAAAGACTTTGAAAAATATCTATTATTTTGAAACCTTGCTTTTTGGGGTTTGGGCCATCCTGGCCACCTCATCTGGCTGTGAGAGCTCTCTATAGTCTTTGGGCTGGCAGTGTGCTAAAAATCTTTTAAAGTTTGTTTCCCTGCCCAGTCCCCCCTTTTTGGTGAGGTTTCTGTGAGTGAGGCCTGCTAGGTGTACATCCTGCAGCTTACTGGCTTAGCTATGTACTCTCCTTTGGTGTGGTCTCTTTGGGGCCGATGGGGAGAAAGAGAAAACCAATAGTGCAACTGTTTTGATACTGAATATTGATGTGTGTCTTTTTGAAATAAAGAACCAGTCCCTCCAACTCTGAAATAAAAAGGATGGGAAATATATACTATATTCATGGAAGGGAAGATTCAGCAAGTAAAATGTGATGATATATTATTTTTCCAAGACATTTGTTTGCTTTACACTCAAGTGCCTATCTGCTGTACCACATCTCTATAATGTTAAACAAGCAAGCAGGGTCTTTTTTTTTTTTTTTGTGGGACGGTCTCACTATGTTGTCCAGGCTGGAGTACACTGGCTATTCATAGACTTGACCATACAGCAGTATAATCCCCAACTCCTGAGCTCAAACTATCTTCTGTCTCAGCTTCCTGAATAGCTGGGACTACAGGTATGAGTCAATACACCCAGCTGATTTTTAAAGATATTAATTTTATTTAAGTATATATCCAAAGTAAATTTAAATAACATAATTCCTCAAGTATACAGCTGGGTCTTTTTTTTTTCTTTCCAGTTATCTCTAGAAACAATAGTTTCCCTTATATCTGCCTTGCTATTTGTCTTTTACAGTTCTTTTTAATTAATGTATTTATTTTGAGATAGGGTCTAGCTCTGTTGTTCAGCTTGAGTGCAGTGGTGTTCTCATAGCTCATTATAGCCTTCACCTCCTGGACGCAAGTGATTTTCCTGCCTCAGCCTCCCAAGTAACTAGGACTATAGGTGTGTG